TGTGTGTGTGTGTGTGTGTGTGTGTGTGTGTGTGTGTGTGTGTGTGTGTGTGTTTGTGTGTGTGTGTTAGAGAGGGGGAGACACACGCCCATGCAGCAAACAGAGGAAGAAGAAGAAAAGAGGATCGTTCAGGGTGGTAGGAAAGAAACAGGAAAATATGTTTCATTAAATTCATTGATAGAGCTGGAGTGTCGGAGTGGTGCTACATCATTTTATTAATCCCAGTATAAATCCAGTGTCTTTTAAGAGGAAAAAAAAAGAACTTGCGTGGTTTGCAGATTATCAGCAGGCTGAGAGCTTTTGCAGGGAATTGTACAAGTGAATTGGACAGAAGAGTTCCCCCTAAATCCCTGATGCAATTAACCAACAGCTGAATTAATATGTTCTTTTTACCCAGAGCCCTGTCTCCAATTTATCTTTTAATAAAAACATCATTGGGAAGGAGATGAGAAATGCACCAGGCGCAGAAAATTCACCTTGGTGTGTGTGTGTTTAAAGACAGTCAGTGGTAGTAGTGCTCTCCTGGTGTACAGTGGAGATTTCATGTACTCAGCACTTCAACCTCATAAATAACACTTTTAATCAACACACACACACACACACACACACACACACACACACACACACACACACACACACACACACACACACACACACACACACAGGGTTGTAAGGATGAGGGAGGCTGTAAAAGTTGATCTACTCCACGTCTTGGGAAGACAAGCACAGAGGAGCTGCTGCCATTCTCAGAAGAGTGAGGCCAGTCTCTGGTTCAGCTGCAGAAACTGTACAACATGTTACCAAACTGAGTTAATATCCAGCTCAACATCCTCAACCCAACACCACGCCTTGTCGCTGCTTTAGGACAGATTCACTTAATCTCAATTAATAAGTTGAACCCCAATAATTGAGGTCCAAATCTGTTCTTTAAGAGGATAAAGAAAAAGGTGCTGCAGGCGAGAGCAGGGGAGTCTGCATAAGTATATCATAAATATAAAAACTTTTACTTGATTGCTTTAAGGAGGAATATCAGTAATGCAGTTGTCTGGCAGATTGTACTGCAGCCTGTAAAGTGTGTGTGGGACTTAGGGAGCCTGAGCTTGAGGATAAATACAGTTTGACCCCAGATCTTTGAAGATCCCCTTAAGACCATTCCACAAAATTTGTTATACAACTAGACTGGCCAGTCAGTAAAGGGCATAGCTCCGCCGAGGCCGAACGATCGCCTAGTTCTTATAGTAGAAATATAAAAGAAAAAAAGATAGTTGTCTATTACTATTATTATTATTTGTCTAAAAACATAGGCAAAGAAAGGGGTAACATTTTTTAATGGATGTTAATGAGATGTTAATGAATGCATTTGTCATTGAAGGAAAATTATTGGTGTTGAAAATATCCATAAAATGTTTTTTTCTGACAAAATATGCAATCTTGGAAAAGCCACTTCGGAACAAATTTACATAATGGGCTTTATGTTGACCACAAGGAAAGAATAACTATCTTTACGATTCTGTGTGGTTCAGCACTTTTAATGTTGTGGGGCCCCTTCAAGCCAATAAGTTCACTAAATGCAACCAATGGCAGCAATGCTTTTGTGCCTGATACAGATTTTTTAGACGACTAAATAAAATATCCTGTTTCCTTAACTTCTCATGATAAAATATAAAATAGTTGTTCCAATGGACAATATTGGAACAGATGAAAATGAAGAGGCAGAAACCCCACAAAGACAATATTCAAGCATTTCTTGTCTTTTTCCAGCAAAGGAAATTGTGCCAAGAACTGGCTTCAAGCCTCTATCACACGTGCTGCACATCAAAGCCCCAGTAATGCTGTTTCTAACTATAGCCTGTCTCTACCTTAATACCATACTATTATCTGCAGCCTCAGCCCAGAGGATCTAAAAGCAGGGAGGAAGAGCAACTGTTGTTCGGAGAAGATGTGTCATTATTACAGAAACACAAGCTGAGAGAGAAAACACACAGCGGAACAATGGCCTAGTGGGGAGTCGAGGTGAGCCAAGCTGCTTCATAATGACGCGCACCAATTAGAGACGGTTAAGGCAACGACAGGCCGTCATTAGTGGTTAATCCCTCACTGCTGCACCTGCGTGGTGACATCAGCACCACAGGCAGGAGCGTGGACGTGTTCCCTCACAATCTCCAGCATCTGGTGTGAAAGTGATTGATTGTTGTTCCCAGCACAGTAATATCAAGCATAATGAATGTTTTTAGATGGAGCGATTTCCCTTCTGATCTGTATCACTCTGATCTGAATGTATATTCAACTGAAAACAGCTTGACTGGTTTGTTTTTCAGCTCAGAGCACGGTGTGTTTCTCCTTTTCTACTAAAGCGAGTGCAATTACAGATACATACTTATCACATTTAATGAACATAATGAAGCATGATTCATGGTTTATGGTTATATTTAGAAATGTGAAGTTCTTCATGATCAGGTTAAAAGAAGATTTTTCCTTTTGTGTATATCAAGTGCATCTCCATCCATCACTTTGAAATGGTTTAATCCACATGGTTTGACTGACTCTTCTTAAATCTCATTGTCTTATTGCAGCCTCTCCGTCTGTAGATGCACCTGGCTGAGGAAAATCAGGAGAGATTTGCTTGAAGAATTGGAGACAAATTAAATAATTCTTTGTCATAATTTTAGCAGGATTTCCTTTGCAGCATATATGAAACATGAAAACAGAGACACAAAAAAGACTCATGAAGTCAAACTACAGAGAATGAGTCAAACTGCAGAGAATGACATTTAGGATGTCAGGAACAACATTTCAGACAAATGACAATAGCAGGTGGGTGCAGTGAAGGTCACTTCTTTGACTTCCCTCCAGCCCTGTTCAACGTTACTCGGTTGGGGTTAAGTTGAAAGAGGCTGAAGAAAAATATGTTCTAAAAAAGTAGCCATCATAACTGTGATAACCTATGATTTTCCCCCATTTAAACAAACAGCATGCATATACCAACTATAAAAAACTAGTTGTTCTGTATGTGGCCACCCCCTGTGCCAACCACCTCCTCACAGCTTTGTTGTTTCATTCATTAAATATTTTCTTTACTGCTTCAGCTGAACATAATCCACACAGAAAGCACTGATTCCTGACAAAGAAATGAGTGGTACATAATTTCTATTACTATAATTTGAGCGGTCTGGTTTGATTTCTGTTCCCCTTCCAATGTGCTGGGTCAATAATAAAAAAGAGACATGTTCTTTCTCACAGGTTTTCTAGTGAATAGTTTAATTATTACAGGGAACCACATGTGGTCAGAATATGACAAGATATGGCTCCTTTTAAAGAAAAACAAAAAGATACCAATGCAAACATTAGAGGGGCTGAACAAATACAGATATGATTACAAATAAAACCTCTGTAGATCCCTTGAGTCAATTCCAGTATAAAAAAAGTTGCTCTCAATTCACAGGGATGCTCTCTCCCTGAGGACGCCATCAAAATGGAAAACACAGAAAAACAGGACAACCTCATAACCGAGAGCCATTCCTCATTTTCTGTCTCCTCCTACTCCTGCAAGAGTTTCCTGTTCCACTAAAACGGAACAGCCAGTGGCTTTATCAAGATTTATGAGCTAAATCATCATTGGAAATATTAGACACTTGCCGGGGCACAAGGGGAGGTGGAGCGGGCTGCAGAGAAGATGGGGAAAAAAGGAGAAAGAGGAGACGGAGTGAGAGAAGAACAAGTGAGTCAAACAGAGATGAAGCGAGAAAGACTTAACTGAACGAGATAGGAGGATTCTGCTAAGAACAGATGGCTAGACTTGATCCCAGAAAACATTTTCAGTACAATCTTTTATGTTCCTGTTTTCTTCTCTAAATGTGCCGACATCCCACCGCTCAAAAACAAGCAGCGGAGATAAAGGGCTGGAGACTGGAGACAAACGGAAAACGAGGTGAATCCCAAAATCTGTCAGCCACAGCCGTTGTTGCACATGATCCCTCATGATGATGCGCTGGTTTCTCCTGCTTCAGATTTCTTCCTCAGGAAAAGAATAACACATCAAAGTCAAACTGAAGCCACTGAACGTAGCTTCAAGATCACAAGAGCTACTGTAAAATTTAACTTTTTATCATAGAGTGAGATGAGCACACATATTAACCTCATGTCTTCTGAGGACAGACGAGAAACCAAGAGGCAGTGAGCTTAGCATAAAGACTTGACTTGTTGGATATATCAAACTTTAAAGTGTTTCGAGGTGAAAACAATACCAGCCCTGTGTGTATGAGACATCATTTGAAGGATCACATATTCCACTTGTTTAATGTTGGACTAAACACAACCTAAGTTTGATCCAAAATGTTATTTGATTACACTAAATTATGAAAATCACCATATTGAAATAGCATAATCTTCTAGGAGCAATGAACTTGTCCCAAAACCTCTTCAAAAGGTCTCCAGTGGCACAACTGTTTTTTAACTCAGTCCTTGGACTAAAGGAAAATAAATAATCGATGAATGGAGAGACAATCAGATTTCACCACAATTTTCAAATGTCACCATTTGTCTTGTTGGTTTACGATGCTGGTAAATCGGAATGAATCGGAATTAATTAAACATTTGTTTTCATTCTGTCTGTAAAAATGAACTGAATGGAGGAACTGTGCAGAAGTGAACTGATTTAATTCTGCATTCTTATTGACAAAAGTTCAAACGTTTACACAATGACCTGTGACCAGGTTTTTGGCGCTTCAGTTAGCATTGTCTGTTTTCCCATCTCCCTGTTTTAACATGAAATTCAAACCCATCTCTTCTGTAGGGTTCTGTGTTAAATGGCACTGGTGTGAAATAAAACACATCTTTAATCGAAATTCAAATTGTGGTGTGTTTGATAAATGTCGGCCTCATTATTTTGCTGCCAGTTCCACCTTTAACGAGCTGAGCGTCCGTCCACTGAACAATAGCACACTCTCTAAAATGACCGGCAAGCTGTGTGTTGCTGCAAATTGAATCAAGCGTGTCTGCAGCTTATATGATTGACTAATGAATTGATGCAAACGAAACTCAATCAGCCACATTTGCCCTTACTGAGATTTTTATAAAAACTGCTTGTACAATTTCTATTGCAGGAGATATAAGAGGGCAGAAAACATTTTTCATATTAAATATATTGATAGAAAAAGAAGGGAGGGACAGAGAAAAAAAACCACCAATCAAATAAAGGACACAACAAAAAGCAATAAGAAATGGAACAAAACAATCAGACTAAATTCAAATGAGGTGCAGACAGTGCAAACATGCATCAGGAGGCAGTAGCAGAAAACACTGGGGAACCTGATGCAGAGAGCGCGAGCAGCAGAGGACGGCCTGAGAACGAGGGATGGGCTTTTGATGGAGCCTCATCTGGAGTGTTTATGACGAGGCAGCGCCAGCAACGTAATGAGTTGACTGATCAATCTTTCCTCCTTGCTCCGCTGGATCAATAACACTGTTTTGACATCCTACATTAAGCTCTAACTAATTGCCAGATTGCTAAATGCTTTTAAGAAGGAAGAAAAAAAAACATATCCTGGGCAATCAATAATGCAATCACACCAGCGACTCTCCTATACTGCCGAGGGAGGAGGGATGTGTTGTTTGTTTGTGAGCATGTGTGAGTGTGGCGAGTGTCAAAGGCCAAACATTTACCTGCTCCATGAATTTTAGGACCTGTGGATGTGTCTTATTTGTGCGAGCGGTGCTGGGGCAGCTGGGAGTTGTGGTCAGGGGAAGAGGACCGAGCAGAGCAGTGGTGTATTTGGGGTTTGAACTCCAGTGGCCTCAGTGGAACAGTTAGTTTACGTGGCTGAACCACGAAGACCACCAAGCGTTTATTGACAGGGCATATGAGTCTAAACAGCTTAATTCAATAATGACTGTATGTGGAAACTGCAGACATGTGTCTCATGTCTGATAGTTTTCTCTCTTTTCTATTCCCCTTCATCCAAACTGCTGTACTAACCTAAGAAAGACCTGAGAGCTGGGAACAATAAAGCATCACTGCAGCACAGTCCAAAGGGGGTAAGAAACACAGTGAGGAAGTTGTATTAGCAGAAAACACTTGGAAAACCAATCGTACACAATCTGCTCAGCACCACAGAGAAGAGTAATTTAGCAGCTATAGATTCAGATATATCTCTCAGCAGCTGGTGGAGACCAAAAACAGAGCTTAATCTAAACACAACCATCTCCACTCAAGGTCACCTTAAGATTTTCCTAAAAGTGCTCAGAGTAATGGGAGATTTGATTATGAACAACTTCATGACAACTGTGAAATCTTCATCTGCGGCTGAAGACCATGTGATACCATCCAGAAAAATCATTGTCCTAAAGTCTCTCTCTTGATTTCTCTCTTGACGTAAATTATATGACAGCGCAAGATGTGAAAAAGCAGAGATCTCCTCTGTTCATTTTTACATGCCTATGCAGTATGTCTGTACTGTGTGTGTGTGTGTGTGTGTACATGATTAAAGATCAACATGTTTTTGTGTGGGAATAACAGGGTCAGGGGTGCACAGGTTAACAATACCGGATGTCAGTCTCCTCTTATTCTCCACCTCCACACAATAGTCGGAGATAAAAACCTCTTTTCATGAATTTTTCAGACAAGCCAAGCTTCTTGAGCTGAAGAGCTTCTCCCGTACAGTCGCTTCATACATTTTTCAACACGGAGAAACACTGGACAAGATGCCACAGATTCAAAAGTGCAGGTATGAAGGTGTCTGACCTGGTGTCTTGCTGTTTTTTTGCAATTCACACAATTCTTTGCATGAAGCCATTAGAAGGAGTGAAATGGAGGCCTGAGGGATGAGCACAGTGGACGAAAGAGAGAAAGCGAGGACGCACAACACAACATCTTCTTTTCTGTGTCCACATAAATAAATAAGTAAAATAGCAGAGCAGATTGGTTTGGTGAAATGACAGTGAAACACCAATCATTTCCATGAACTCCCAGACTTGAACTTTAAGCCACGTTCACATTAATTTCAGAGATGCTGATTGTCGAATACTAAATGAGATGCTAATTGCGCTCCGATGAAGATAAACTGTTGACTGTGTGATCAGGCACCATGGCTCTAATTGCTTAACATCTTGTTTGATTTAATATTTCTAATGAAGCAAATATAAATGTATATTCCATAGAGTGTTAGGATGTATTTAGATATTAGTCGAATAATCGTTAAGACTGACTGAATTTTAACATCAACTGTATCTGGATCAAATAATAATTAGTAATTTTTTTAATAGAAAACTATCTTTTTTGTTTTTTATGCATTTTATACAGAAGTCTCCTGAATACTTAAAGGTTTTGTATTTTGAAGTCTGTTTCCATTTCAGACCCAAAATTTCTTTCATTGTCAACGGATCAAAAACACTGATGTTTTCTTTTCCATCCCTCATCTTTTCACAGTTCTTCCTTTTCACCTCCAACCCGTCTTTTCTATTTTATTTTTCTTCTCCTCCTCTGGCTCTACCTCTGTCTCTGACTTCTTTGTTTCCATATCCCTGCTATTAAAACAACTAAATTATTAAACCTATAGTGATAATCAATCAATAGCACTCTTTCTTAGAGGGATAGACCGTTTAATAATTGACTAATCCTGAGGGGACCACGGCCCCCAGTGAGTATATGAGTGTGTGTGTGTGTGTGTGTGTGTGTGTGTGTGTGTGTGTAGACCCCTTTGGATAGGTCCAGCCATTTGCATTTGTGTGCACCTGCATGTCTCTATTGTTCCCTGTGATTGAGGCGACTTGCTGAGGTAGACTGGCTCTGATGAGGGTCACGGTGCACTAATTAAACCCTTAATTGTAATTTCTAGAGAAGCAGGAGAAGAGATATGTCAATGGATGCAATTAATGTGACTAAGCCACAGGTGCAATGGGGTAAACAAACAAACTGCATGCCACGTCACGTAACTTCAGTCGCATGTTAAATATAGAGCAAATAAACTTTAACTCTAGTCCACCAAAATGAAAAGGTTAGGAGAAATCTAAATTACAAGGCCATTTACTGAATAACATTTTTCATTTTGAGGCCAACTCAAACTCCATAAGTTTTGAATCTACAATTGTACCAAATCATTCTGTTTTGTTTTAATCATTTATCTTTCATCATTTCAAAAACTTTACATGTTGAGCAATACTAAGAGCACACATTCATTTACATTATGATTTATGCACATCATTCACACAGGGGTAATCCAGGCTGACACTGACTGGAGCTGCCAGGGTTCAAACTACTGACTTTCTAGTTGGTGGGTGACCCTCTTTGCCTCCTGCGCCACAGGAAGGCTATTTATTATCCAAATCCATGTCCAGAGAGTTCTTCCGTGGCTCATACAACACCCATCCACAAGTTTCATGGAAATCGATTCTGTAGCATTTGAGTATGCTGACAGACACAAACAGAAAGAAAACCTAACTTCCTGAGCGGTTGTAACTAGTCCAGCTCATCATAAAGTATGTTATTGTCAGGCCTGTGTATTGTATTTCATGTTCAGTGGAGCCTGTTGTATTGTACACACTCTGATGTATTTTGGCTCCTGAGAGTCTTTGCTTTTAACATTCCAAACAGCTTTGTAGCTCCTTCGGTCAAGAACCCACTGCTCATCCCATCTCTGCATTCTGCATCAATAACAACTCTGCTGTCAAAAGCAGGCAGCCGGCTCTCAGAGGCCGGCCTCAATCCTTAAATTACCTTCTCAATCTTGGACAAGTGTCACACAGCTCCTTTGCTGATGGGATTAGAAGCTACTCATTACCTTGACATGCTGCTCGACAGTCACTCATGTCAACCCTCGGGGTCACACAGGAGGTCACGTACTCTGGCCTTTGGTGGATTAGAGATGTTTTGATCGACATCTATGAGGGAGAAGACGTAGAATTAGTGATAATTATGTCATATGTCTTCACACGCACAACCAAGGGAGATACAGCTCTATCTATCTAGCCGGCTATTAGAATTATGATAATTCTATGACACTTTATTTATATAGCACTTTTTAAAAACAGACTTTACGACTAACGAACAGCAAAGCAAGAAAAGTAAATATAAGACAAATAACAATCAGCAGGATGCAATGTGACATTGAGGCCAGACAACCACATATCAAAGCATTAATATAACAATACATATAAATGGAACAATAAAGTAAAAGGTGAAAAGAAGACAATAAAAACACAACACATGAAAGCATGTCTATACAAATGGGTTTTAAGAAGTGATTTAAAAGAAGTCACTTATTCTGTGAGTCTCATCAGTGAGGCCGTTCCAAAGCCAAGGTCTAAGCGAGTCATTGGAGAGAAGCAAGTAACCTGTGCTATGTTAGCATTATTTGTTGCACCACTTCATCAACATTAGCATTAGAGTGTAGCATTAGTCAGCATGTTAGCATGTTAAGCTAGCATTTACGAACAGTTAAAGCATTTGATTGTGCTCTACATATACATAGTTAGCAGTTGTTGGAAATAAAATCAAAACACACAGTTTTGTTTGAGAATCATTTATTCAGACATTCTTTGGGTACAAACATTCTGCCTGTTACTTGCATCCTTCCTCACCTTTCTGCTGGGTTTCCTGGTCCCACTGGCAAATAGGAAATGGGAGACTCCAACTCTATTAGTAGAAGGGGGAATATGGAGTGTACCACATGCAAGCCAGTCCAGAGGGGAGTTTTAACTGCTATCAAATAAATGCTCTTTTAGGCTCCCAAGTAGTAGAATAGTAATAGTAATATTACTGCGCCAGGTTAGATTCAGTGAAATGCTGATGAGCACAGACATGTTTTTTTAATGTGCATATCGTAAAGATTAGTTGATTGATTTTATGAGATCTAGGGTTTGTCTTGTAGGAGGGGCTTCCGATATTAAATCAGGGGGTAGACCCAGGTTTATAAGCCAGGCTTATACCTGGAGGCCGCATGTGCTAGAGCCTGACAGTCAGGGCCTAGGATTTGTTGTTTTCTTGCATTTAAGTTGTCTTAGGTTTTGTATTATTAGTATTTTTCCATTGTTGTCCACTTTTTTGGACAACAATAACTGATGAACGCAATAAAATAAAGCACAAGGTGAAGATTTTGAGTCCTGTCTCCTTCTCCCACCACAGGGCCGAATCCCACTGTTGAAAAAAACACTGGAGGTTTTCCCTCCCTGTGTACAGTCATGTTCAACCTGAGAGAGAACGTGTTTTGAAAAGCAGTTGTTCATTATTTGATGCTCAGGTCTTAAACAAGTGATATGTCATCTGTCACAGATTCCCTCATCCTCCATCTCCCCTCTGACTGTGAAACAGATACATGCATACACAGATCAAGATAAAGCACCATCACACTTACAGTTTAAATCGAAACATGAAAAGTATGACTGCCCTGAGAGCTCATTGTACTGCAAACAGACAAAACACAACCAAATGATAAAACTACCACGTGTTTAACACAAAATGCAGCAACACATTTAAAAAAAAAATAAAGACAATCTACACAGACACAGACAATTTGGAAAATCATTCACTAATTTAAAGACAAATATGGAGTGCAACAAATTGCATTGCAAACACAGGCAATACCAATAAATAACAGAAACATACTGGAATACCTGGTTGGAAAATGAGCAAATGATTTTAATTGTTTCTCAGTTTAACATTCTATTGCTGATATCCGGATTGCTAATATCAAAACACAGCTCTGACAGTTTCCATATGAATCCTGAGCTCCACAGGCCCCCACGAGTGCCCACCATGCAACCCAGACATATTGAGAGTGGAAGTTCTCCCTGTTTTAAAAACATTTTCTGGCAAAACCTCAGACTGTTTATGAACGAACAAATGCAGCAGTAGAAAACCTATTGGGACAAATGACTCAAACGTGAGATTTATGAATTTTTGGAAAAGTGAAAATACTTCAAAGATGAAGACTAATTGGTTGGCTGGTCGTTCTGTGCAGCTGGAAGCATCTTTTATTTGCTTGTTTTTTTATATAGTTTACTGTGAATTTGCTTCCTGAATTTGATCGTTTTCTGTTTGCAGCTCATTTTGTTATGATTCATGACTTTTCTTTTGTTGCAGTGTATTGGGGAATTGCTGTTAAAACCATATGTAGGTCATAGAGAGACCACCACACTCATATCTATAGCAGATATACTTTAACTTATGTTTTAATGACACTCCTGAGACAGCATGTGTGCCAGTCTGTCTGGGTCTCTCTCTGTTTGGATCTATCATCACTACTCTCTCTGTTTCAACACGTTCATTAGTTCCATGTGTACTCTGCTGTCTCTGCCCTGGCGTCCCATGGCCTTAACATGCTTTATGCTTTTCGTCTGCCTGTGTGTGTGTGTGTTTTCTGCATACATCATGGTGTGTTTGCTGTGTGGTAAGTGCCTGTGTTAAGGTTATGGCTGGTGACCTTGCTGGCGTCCATCCATCGACGTCCCCAAGTCGCTTCCACCTGGGGCCTGACTGGACGCTGACGCGGGTCAATTAGAGCTTGCTGTCTATTTGTCTTTCTTTTTTTTTCTTTCTTTTTCTCTCTGGCAGAGAGCTGACACAAGAGCTGTGTCTTCCTTTCTTCTCACATTCTCAGCATCTTTCTCTTCCTTTCGTTGCATCTTAATCTCCTCTTTCCTCTCTAGAGGTTCCTGTCTTTACACTTTGATTTCTAGTCTCTCTGCATTATCTTCTGCTCTTGCATTTACTTATCTTGAACACATTTTACCATTTGAGTAAATGACATGAAGATCACTTGTTCAATGTCATATCAGAAAAATCCCTCCATCCTTCCACCCAGTGTCTACAGTTTATCCAGGTTCGGGTTGCGAAGGTACTCAGCCAAGACGGGTAGTCCAGACATCCCAACTCACAAGCCACATGTTCCAGCTCTTCCTGGGGTACCCCATTAAGGATATATAATCCCCCCGGCAAGTTCTGGGTCAACCCTGGGGGTCTCTCCCCTGTTGGGCGTGCCTGGTAAACCTCTAATGGAAGGCGCTCATTGGAGGCATCCTGACTAGATGCCCGAACCACCTCAACTGTCCCCTTGTGACTGTGAAGAAGCCCCAGTTCTACTCCGACCTCCCTCCAGATTAACTGAACTCTTTGGGTTAAGTCTTCTCTAAATTCCTGCACATTCAGTTCAGTTAAGTTCAGTCATTTTATTATCCCAGATGGTGAACTTGGCTCGCATTCAATGGCACAAGAAAAAAGACAACACAGTTAAAAAAACACAATTACAGAGAACATTAATGCTTCCTAAAATGTCTCCTGTTACATGCGACTAATCGCTAAAATATTAAAAGTGATGTAGTCAAGTTAAAAAAGAAGATTTTAAAATTACATTGAGAGATTTAACAGGTTTATTGCTGAAGAACAGAGGGGATTTTACTGTTGTTTCACTTGAACCAGGGTTCTCTAAATCTCCAGCCTGAGGAGAGTTTAAAACTCACAGTGAAGGGAGTGTTTTGTGTATTATAACACAGACTGAGCCTTGCAGCGGACCTGCTGGTCAAGGATGGCTGTCAGGGTTCCCCCCCTGTGGGACGCCTCCCACATTGCCAGAAGTCTGAGACCACTGTATATATTCTCATGCTCTAGAGAACATTATGTTTTGCTTCCTTCTCTTTCACATATCAAGTTACTTAAACTAAGTGCCGGTTCTAAACCTGCCTGTTTGGAATGGTCTGTCAGTTTAGCCTGTGGTGATGCCGCCTCCAGCTTTCATTTGGAAACTGTAAAAGTGACCTGCAGTCATTGAGCCACAGCAACTAAAGTCCTGCTGCAATACATGGTCTGCAGAGCCCTGTTTAAGTTTAGTAAAGCCCGACTCAGTCCCCAGAACCCTGAATCAGTGGTCGTTCCCTTTGTCGCAAACGTTCCCATCATCGTGAACGCGCTGTTGTTGGGATCTACAATGTCACAGTCCCAGTCTCTGCTGTCACAGAGTGCTGGTAGCCTGTCTGTTTAAATTCTGCACGTCCAAAATCGCACTAAATTCGATTCTGCACTTCCATACTGTCTTTGTTTACATCTGAATCAATTCATTGTGTTGCACTGGAGCTGAAACATTTGTGCTGAAACAAAACTGGGCTATTTCATGTGTGTGGGTCTGTGTGTGAGCATTTGTGCACCATCGAGTATCTCTAGAGTTCTGTCTATGGGGCAATATATACTTCCTCTTTCCTGCTTTGTCGGCCAATGATAACTTGATACACCCTGGAGAGAGCTGCGGGGGCGGCAAAGGGGGAAGTGGAGAGCAGGATGAGTTGGGAAAGAAGTGGAAGGAGATGGGGTCGTACACCAGAGCTACATTTAGGTTGAAAGTGCAGAAAAGACACTAACCCATACAGATAAAACCATAAAAATCAGTCTCTATTGTACTGATACAAAAAGCAAATACAGCATGAGCACTCTGAATTGATCCTCACCATCAGAAAAGAATCACGTTCTGATTCCACATCCTCTACTCATTCTCTGTTATAAATACCAGAACACAAACACTATAAATGCTCCGGTGTTGAGTGAGCCACTTTCTGTGTCCAACCGCCGAGGACACGACGCATTTTTCGTTATTCACGTCTTCTTAATTGGCTTCAGCTCTTGCTGCATTTACATATGCATGCTAAGAGGGCATCTTATTTGAGGAGAGATGGGAATGGAAATGGGATGAAAAGCAAAGGGAGAAAGAGAGAGAGAGAGAGAGGTAGTAGAGAGGAGTAGTGGAGAGGGGTGGTCGGGTTGGCAGTGGTGATGGAGGGTGGGGTTATAAAGAAAGACTAAAAGGAGGAATGAATGAACAAACAAGTGAATAATAGACGGGATGTGAGTAAGTGCTTCTAGAAAAATCGGCCTCTTTGGTTGCCACGGTAACGAGAGGTGCAAGTTGGCTCTGCTCCCTACGTAACCAATTATATCTGTGTGTGTGTGAGTGTGTGTGTGTGTGCGTATCTACTATCTATCTAGGGTTATTGATATGCAAAAGCCAAAGCAGGTCCATGTGAGCTTCTGTGAAATGTTTAATTTTAACGTGGTCTGTTTATCTGTCAACTGTGTCAAGCTGTCTTCTGTCAATTTATTACCCCCGCTGCAATTTCTGTCCTCATATACACACACACACACACACACACACACACAAAACCCACCATGTTCACACTGTGGTGTTTGTAGGTTCATTAACAAAGAGCTGCATACAAAGGTTTGTAGCTTTGCATGAATGCAGTCGCAAGTGTCTCCCCCTAGTGAGAGATGCAACCTATGGCACACATGCTGTTCCCAGGAGGCACTGGATTTTTTATGTTAAGCTTTTCATTTTTGTCTTTCATCCAATCAGTGGCGACTCCTGCCTTTGAGATGCAGGCAGGCGAGAAATGATTTAGTAAAAGATGTCAGGACTTAATGTGCCCTTGACTGTTTTAATCCACTACGCTAACACTGCCATAAAAAGACGTGTAAACTCTTAATGAGAATATTTATTACTTAAAACATGGAGTCTTGGTTAAATAGTCATTAAAGAACAAAGAGATCACACAGCTCCTAATTACAAAATATTTTACGGCTTTACACTTGGTTACCAGAGAATCCTACTGATTTTGAGGACTCCTGACTTTCCCTGTTTGCTGATGATGCCATCATGAGCAAAACACTTGTGTTGACTATTGGATGAATTGCATGAACCTTACACAGCGGTAGATTCTCTGCATACCTTGTGGAGATATTTTTTGTGTCTGTTGTGTGTTAGAGGCCTCATCACATCGGATTCAAAGGACTTCCTGTGGACTTCATACTTGGGGGGGCCAGGCATAGAAAATCCACACAAAGTCCAGAGGCTCTCACTTAGATGAGTCTCTGCGGTTCAATGCAAGTCTGAAAGCAGCTCATGATAACACATTAAATCATGTAAACAATACACCCACATCACCATTGTAAGTTGACATCAGCATTCATTTTAGGGCAGCACTGAGTACAGCCTCACAGGAACAAATGGATATATATCGTAAAATTAGATGGAAAAAATCACTGTGGTAACGATTCAAACACCTTCACAAGCACTTTCCCTATCATAACATGCAACAGCTTATACTGCTCCGCTCTTTATCAAGGACTTCTGAGGCTGAATTACAAAGAGATCAAACACACACACACACACACAGACACACACATACACACACACACACACAGGGTTATTCCAGTCTCGTGCTCTGCGGTGACATTCAGCCTATACACACGTCTTTGTCAGGTTGTTCTTTGTAGACTTGTACCTTTTCAGGGAAACCATTCTGCCCCTCAGTAGGACCACCAGTGAGTTAGAGGGGCAGCCAACTCGGACTCTGGCACTAATTGGCTACGCTATTAGAGGCCCACAGAGCCACACTTAGACTACAGAAATAAGCTGGTCAGTGTGAGGGGGGAGGCTGGGCACGGTGCCCACGTGAATATGTTAGATGGACAGAGAGGGTGAGAGAGTGAGAGTGAGGGGGGAGAGAGAGAGAGAGACAGGGAGAGAGAGAGAAGGAGAGAGAGAGATTACTAATTAGGGGGTCTCTGATGGACATGAGAAACCTACAGAAGCAGTTCAAAACCCTCCACCTCAAGAATCCAGCGCGCATACACACACACACTCACATGCATACACTTCCCGTCCTCCGACCAGTTAACTGATTGGTTGGTGCTGGTGTTTGGTGTGTGTGTGTGTGTGTGTGTGTGTGTGTGTGTGTTTTGGGGGTGGGAGCAGAGGGGTCCTTTGTCCGATGCCCTTCAGCAGCTCTGACTGACAGCAGGGACAGGAAGTGAGGGCGTGGGGCTCAGAGAGGAGAAGAGCTTTTCTCTGCGCTGCCCTCATCAGATTAACATCCTCCTCCACCTCTCCAAATTCCTCCCGTCCTCTTCCCTGCTATGTTTTGCTTTCCTCCTCCTCCTCCTCTTCTGTGTCCTTCTGTCCTTCTACATTCAAAACATACAAAACTTCTTTTAAAGGCATTTGTTCTGACTGTTTGTAGCCCCCCCTGCTTCTCGCATTGTTCATTTCCTCAGAAGTGAAAGATAACGTTACTCAGGCCACTCAAGCAGCGGCGGTACAATTCTAAACAGATGCTTTATTCAACTGTGCCACTGACATGAAGCGATTTAAATGACTACTTATTCTGTATTAGCTCGATAATAGATCATCTGAAGCCAAAATATGACAGTTGTTTGTCGACATGTCCGGGACGCGGTGACAATACCTGAGATGTTTTAATAAAGGGAAGACAGCTTTGACACCACTAATGGCTCCTGTGGGAGATTATATTCATTTTTTGGAGCCTTCAGGCCTGAATTGAGAGCTGCTGCACTTACAGAGGTTGATTAGGACAAAGTCATTTTCACAATCAGATTTTCAAAGGGTTTTCTTTCTGGATTTAACTGCAAATGGGAAAAAAAAAACCACCTCTGGATCACAAATAAAAAACACAACAACAAAAAGGAAAAAGGAAGAATTTTATTTTGCATTGTTTGCTCTGCAGACACATACAAAGAAGGACAGATAGATAGATTGAGATATTTAGAATGTGGTCAGAGCAAAAATGTTTAGATTTCTAAGTTTCTCTATCAATCTCGGAACTTAAAAGTAATATGTAAGACCTGTAAAAGATGTACAGCAGGCCTGAAAGCAGCAGTTCACAAACCAATGGATAACTTCACTGGGGGTTTCCACACTTTACTGAGCAGTGGCGGAGGGATGATGATAGGAGGGATTTTCCTTCTAAAGTGACAGAAACATTGGGTGTTACTGAGTTAATTTGTCTTGGACTACTGAAGCCTTATATTAGGTTATGTGGATTTTGTCCCTCATCACTTTCACAGAGAAAGTCTTGAGAAAGAATCTTTTCAGTTTACACAGGAGAAAAAAATACATCTACTAAGGGCTTCAAATGTTCTTTTTATTTTTGTTTATTCTGCCAATCACAGCACTTCTCCCTTTAACTCATGATCATTTATAATTACTTTACCACATCTGGGAGAAGGCTCTTCTTAAGGACAAATGCTGAGTGAGTACTTTCTTCATTCAGTTGAGATTTAGAGAAACGTGTAACTAAGCAGATAAAGCACAATGAAACACAGCAGACGGTTTACCACATTCACATTTTATTTTCCTTGTCTTCAAGCTTAGCTCTGATGTTCTGCATTACAATCAACTTAAAAATGACTCGCTATTTCCACTTTTTCCACCTCTAAACCAACATAAAAATAAAAGCAGCCCAGTACCGCCTCAACAAAATTGGACACATTTATAATATGACACCACACATTTCCCATACACACACACACACACACGAACACACACACAGAGCAATGACTTCCCCTGATTTGTGACATGGTCATGGGTTAAATTGGAAAAGGAAATAGCGGGGGGGAAGACAGAAAAAGAGGAATGAAAAAAGGTTTAGAGGGAAAACGAGAAGGAGAAAGTGATTGGGGAGAGTGAGAGTGGATAATCAAATTGAAAGAAGAAACACACAGTAAGAGCATTAGCTGAGCTGAATAATGGAATAACTTAAACTCCTTGAGCACAGACACACTCATACACACTTGCACACATGGAAGCACACACACAAATGCCTCATATACATACAGGTTGTATCCCAGAAACAATACTTAATAAATTACAAAATAAAGACAGAAAATAGCCATGCACTAGCTGTACAAATTGAAACAGCAATCTCATCTCCATGAAGAAAAAAAAAAGAGATAATCCAACAATCTACTTTATACTGTCAATACAGAGCACCATCTGTTTTCATGAATGGGTCTCCACTAAGTAAAGTCACAAATAAATGTACACACAGACTGGAGGAAGGGACACAAAGAAAATATAATTCCACTATAGTTTTTTTAAAACATCACAGCAACATTACGATCAGCGTCAGGCTGAGCTCTGAGAACTTAAAAACTAATTCGGTGAAGTTTGCAAACCGTGACGTGGTAAAGTGACTCCGTCTTTGTTCTGCGTGATAAGTGTTTATCCAAAGTGCAAAAGGGTTTTCTGCTCTCTGCAGCTCATGCTTCTTGTTCATCACTGCTGCGTCTAACGTTTTAATACTGTCTATTGTGAAAAGCAATGGAAACACAGACAGTGCATGTGGATATTTTATACTCCATCTTGATATTTTACCGTTTGTGTTCATGTGACCAAGAAACCAAAGCTGTGTTAGTTTATTTGTGGTATGTGTTCAAACAGCTCAAGGTTTGTCTTAATAAAGACATGTACATTCTACATGACGTCAATAGTGTTCGTTTGGGATAAAGCGAGGCAAACAGCACATGGACGATCAGACCAAGCGCACTGTGGCCGAGGAGGAGTTTGTAACAGAGGAAAGGGAGTGAGGGCGTCACTCCAGGGTCGTCACATCTGAGCAGGTTTCTTACATTATATACCTGATGATGACTGATGTTAGCCAGCAGCTACGCTAGGAAAAGGGGCTGTTTGGTTTTACCTACATCCCATCCAACCAACACATTGAGGCAGGAGGGAGGGAGGGTGGAAGGAAGTCAGGAAGGAAGGATGGAAGAAAGGAAGGAAGGAAGAAATGAAGGAAGAACAAAAAGAAGTCATGAAGGAAGGAAGGCTCAAACCAACAAAAGGAGTAAAACGTTGAAGTAGAGGATACGACAGCAGAAAAACACAAATTAGACAGCAGGTGGTTTGGATCTCGAAACTGTAGTGTGACAGATCTAGTTTCCTGTGATCACCAGGGTCCTTTTAATTCAAACACAGTGTTACAGGTAAGACGGGATTCTAACACTAAACCTAAAGAAGCTGATGCCTCTAGTTCACTACAGCCTTGTTAGGCCGCTTCACTGAAACATCGGCTCAAGTTAAGGACTGGTGGTGCCTGCTGTTTGTTACTGTGGTTCAACTATATGTGGATCTCAGAGGATAAATAGTGTCTGAGGTCAGGGGTCACAGTTCATGAAGGTTATAGTGCGACAGCTAATGGTGAGAACATTCATTGAGATCAACCCTGAATCTTAGTCAGAGCTTACAACAGCCTTACTGAGGGAAAAGGCCATTGGAGTGTGCACCCTCAGAAGCAGGTGGGCCTCTGGTGGGTCAACAAAATCAATTCATCAGGGAACAGAGCACCTGACTGGTGTCAAAGTAGCGTATGTACCATGATAGCATCTACATAGTGTCAGGTGTAAATCTAAATGAGAAGTGAGATCAGTATTTGAGATCAGAGAACAGTCCAAGCACTGAATGGTTATAAGCTCAAACCTCCGGGTACAGAGAGGGCGAACACCTCAACGTTAGTCCCTGTGATTCATCTCTGAGTCTGACAGATGATCCAGATGTTCAGGGTTCTTGTGGACTTCGCTGCCAAGCTCGTTTTCAGCCTCAGGGTCCTCATCATTGCTCTCTGCACTGTAGTCTATTGCCTCCAGAAAGGAGGGCTCGTCCTCCTCCATCACGTAGGTAGTGGGGCAGCTGGTGGATGATAAAATAAAAGAGCGTGAACACAGTTGCCACTGCGAGTTATTGATGTGCATATGACTGTCACAAAGAAACATCTTCATCTACATCATGTCAGTTTTCAGGACTACAGAGAAGCAGGATAATGCCTGTGCATATTTTGAGTAACTAATTGTATCCCTGAATGTGTTATTTTAGGACAAAATATAATAATATAAATGCTCATCATCACTTTTACAGTGTAGTATATAACTGTCATGTCACTACCCCACATTCTGAGCTGAACTCTGAGGTAAAACACAAGAGAAAATGAAATGGAAATGCATTTATGGTCTTTAAAAATGTTATGTTGAGAAGTCTAAAAGCACAACAACTAAATATGGTGTGGAGCATTCATACGAAACATGAAAATGTTTATTTCTTTATGTTTATTTATGTTACATTTTATACCGTTAGGCTCTAAACTTTGAATCTATCTTAGTTTTTTCAGATTGTCAGAGTAAATCATATGACGGCTAACAATTATTTTTCATTACTGATTAGTCTAGGAATTATGTAAGATTAATTAATAAATAGTTAAGTTAATAAAATGTCAGAATTCTAAGAATCACGTTTCTTGTTTTGTCTGACAAACTCTTAAAGAAGCCTGAAGCTGAGAATTTTAAGTATTTTAAAGCATTAAACAATTTGTTAATAGTTACAGTAATAATAGTTGAAGGTTAATTTTCTGTTGAATAACTGTTCAGCTCTAAATAATAATAATAAATATCTGAAATAAAATACAAGCCATCATACAATGAATCTACTGCAGGATTCATATCAAAAATATATTTTAAAATCATAACAACACATAAACAAACTGCGCCTGTGTGCTCTGACTGGTGAGGCTGTTTTTTTTTCCTGTGAGTCTTAATGGTTAAATGGTCGCTGGTTCTTTGAGGTTTTAGTGGCTTTAGTGGGTTTTTAATGGTGTTAATGGTCTGAAATGTGATCCCAGGGAGATAGTCGATCAGGGGACTTAGACAATGAGCTCCCACCAACTTTAGCAGTGCCCGAGTGCAAGACAGAGAGAGAGAGGGAGGGAGGGAGGGAGGGAGGGAGGGAGGGAGAGAGAGAGAGAAATTGTGCATCAGTGTATGTACAGTAAATGTGTTTATCTTGTTGTTTTTGTGTAATGATGTGGCTGGATAGCGATAAATACTAAGATTTGTGAGTTAACGTTCCACTTTCTTTGAGATACGTTTTCTGAATCAACCGACTGCAGTCATTGCTTTACACTCCATCTTAACATATAGATATACATATACCGTATGTACGATAAAACCTCCAAACTTTAACATCTATTTCTGTGTTCCTTACACTCAGACGAAAACACACCCATGCCCGTATCAGCCCTTTTACTCACTCCGAGACACCCAGTTATTCGCAGACGCCTCCCAATGGCCAAGATATTGTTGTGATGACCTATTAAATGGTAAGTGGTACCATACCAAGCCCCACACATAAATCCGGGATGAGAGTAACCAATCCCGAGGGGCCCCCACTCACACAAACACACACACACAGACACACACTCTTCTGGAGTCCCTTAATGATCAGACACATAAATGATAAATGGGTATATCAATATGTGAGTAGCGCAGGTTGGTAAGAGATAGAGACTGGGAGACACAAAGAGAAAGAGACGTGAGCATTAAGTGGTTCTGAGTATGAAGCCATTCTTCCAAATGAACTGCTTTAACAAATCTGTGGAGGAGAGATTGCTGACGTCTTTAAAGTAAAAAGAAATTAAGATGGTGGTCGGGGTTTGGCAAAGTTTAATAATTTATTGGTGGTGTCGGACTGTGGAACAATCTGATGTGTGGACTTAATATTTCTGAGCAGGGAATTTCAAACACAGGTGATTAGATAAGGTTATTTTTCATAGTGCTGGCTCAGAAAAAAGTTTGAGTCTAGATAGATATTGTTTTGAATTTATCTTTTAAACCTTATGTTCTGTCTTGAGTCCTTCTCGCTAAAGCGAAAGCTAAAAAACTAAAACATCATGACATTTGTTTTTCAACCCGATACTTCGGTTCACATATTTTATCAAACATAATCTGTGACAAAGGGCATTGGGTAGGGAATAAATAATAATAATAAAAAAGCATATCGAAGAAACAATAAATGGCAAAAACTGATAATAAAAGAGTTTTCTTTACTATGTTAATGACAATAGAGCTAAAAAAGAGACGGAAGCATTAAGTTTTGAATCAAGATGAAAGCTCTAATTAATGATTGTTGATACAAAGCAAACGTGATGTGACAAGAAAAAGAAACAACATGCTACTCTACTACTGGTTTGACCTGTGTGATAAGTGTTTGTCTTACAGCTTAACTGAACATATCCAATGCTGCCATCCCCTGAATACACTGAAAATTAAATGGATGAGGATACATTCCGACACCGATGAGTTGCATTTCATTATTACTAACACACTGCACAGGAAGGCAGGATACTCGTTTACATGCTCCATGTGCATTTAAGCTACACTGTACCATCCTGTGGCACTGACTGCTCACTAGCATTAGAAACTCCACTGTGGAGGTGAAAATATTAAAGGAAAGATGTTGGGGCTGTTTTACACACTGTCTTAAAAAGATAATGACACTGCTGACAATGTTGTATAACCACTCCCCTCCCCTCCAGCATTTTCACTACATTCATCACACATGATCATTGATAGAATTTTGATGATGCTCACAGCAGCCGTGCACAAACGCAGGCCTTCACTGGTCTCTCGAATGTTAAGAGGAGAGCTGGAGTGACAGTGACGCCATTCAGTATCAGAGCCGACATCAGAGCCTGTCTGGCGGTAATGAGGGTGTTTTGTACAGAAAAAGGAAAACAGTCTTAAGAGTTTTTCCGTTTTCCAGGTAGAGTTTTAGCAATAGAAAACACTCAGATATGTTGGGAAGGTTACATGAGGATAACAACACTACAGATAAAATGCTGGGAAATAAAAGCTTTGATCTGCAGTTTTACCTGGTCTTGTTTCTATGGCATCATTATATCTTTAACTGTGAGTTTCTAACCTTAAAGCAACAAACTCTTCCACTGAAAAGTCTCACAGCATCTGGGTGCACCTGCATGAACCAGGGCTGTTATTTTGTACGGACATGGAAAAAAAATTAAAATATTTGAACTGTAAAACTTACAATCTATAACCCCAAGCATTTGCTGTGTGATGCCGAAGAGGCTTGAACTATAGAATGTGCTACTGACTCACTGCCTCCCATTTCAGCTACATTTGTTTGTTGTGAGCATGATTACACAAAAACTACTTGAGCGATTTCTTTGAAACTTGGTGGAAGGTATAGTCAGGAAAGATCAGGAGAGGAATCCAAAAATATATTTATTCACCTTCTTTCGGTTGCCAGATTTCAGTTTTTCAACATTTTTGTTTGTTTGTTTGTGAGCTCTTCTGATTGCCATTGCAGTTAAGCTAGTGATGCCATGTTCTTTGCTACAAAAATGCAGGATACTGGTGATCGAAGCGGTCCTCAGCTGACAATCTCGACACCAAAGCATCTGAGAAACTGTCTTTGGAAACATTTTGGGATTAACAGCAAAGGTGGCAAAGTTACCAACACCTCTGTGCAAAGCAGCTGTCTTACACTATTACAATAAATGATAACTGATGTGGGAATGGACAAGGTGATTATAACCATTCACACTTGATTTTTGTAAAAAGTGACATGTGTGTTGTGATATGTACAGAACTTTACACCATGCTCTAGAGTAAATGGTTTGTATTTATATGGGTGGTAGTACTAACCTGACCACTTTAGTCTGTGTCCCAATGATGTCACCCTCCAAATCCAGCAGGTGTTGGTGGTTGCGGATGCTTGTCAGCCGCTTCAGCCTCAGCAGGGCTACACAGAACTGAGCTCCCATCTCCTCCAGCTCTCTGGTACCGATCTGAAGCCCCTGGAGAGAACATGCACATCATAGAGATTTAAACACTAATATGTTCACACAAAAACATCTCACACACACACACACACAGACACACAGACACACAGACACACACACACACACACACACAGACACACACACACACACACGTCAAATGCACAGCTCCACTCAAAAAATAATTCTGAAGCTTTAACAGTCTACTTTAAAAAGGCTGCTGGTTTTTTATAGCTGCTCTGGAGCCTGGGGACGGAGCCACTGTCCATCTTCAAACGTCCCAATTTTCAATGCTGGAAGGGAAACTTTGCATGTAGGAACATGATAATATATTTCAGTTAGGGACACATTCAAACTCATACCTACAACCTGAACACAGTCTACACTGTTCATCACAGCACAGCAGCAAATTTTGAGACCACCACTACTTTCTCGTTGTGGTCTCTGACTTTTGGACTCTGCTGAACTTTAACACACACACACACACA